ATAGCTCCTTCTGTGGCTGTGGCTGCTTTGATGTCTGAAGCTGGATGTCCAAACTTATCACAGGTTATTTCTTCATTCCAGGCATTGAGGTGGCCCCTTGGCAATTAACTTCAGGGATTCAGGTGGTGTGTGTTACAAATCTGAAGTAATAGCCTGTCGGAGGGCCTGGCTGTCAGCAGGGTGCTCTGTCTGTGATGCACAGGAGGACATCTCCCTGGGACTGTATTTTTAGGCACTGCAGGTGTTTTCCTTCAGAAATACCGGGTTCATTCTGGCCCAGGATGTGTGTAATTTGGGTTTGGGTTTTTAGTTCTTGTTTCAGGTGAACTTGAAGGATCCCTGCTGTGCAGCTTTGTGTTTTCCCTGACTACCCTCTCTTTTACCTGTCCTGAGGAGATCCTCGCTAACAGCCTGCTGTCCTGCCGAGCCTTCCCCTGCCTCTTGCTCACCTTGCCGTGTGTTTACTTGTACTGCTACTTATGCCAATACTCAACTCCTTTAATATCGCTCTGACTTGTCTCTAACATGTTATTGCTCATTGGGCGTCTGACAGGTCTGCCTTAGTATTTCTGGTTGGTCCAGCTCATTTCTGTACTACTGAAGTAATTTGCAGACCTGCCTAATTGGAAGCCCCCATTTTCCTCCCCAGGTAGGTGTGACATTGCCTGCCCTCCAGGATAACAGCAGTTCTCCTGCAATCCCATTGAGCAAATCCACCTTGTCTGGAAGAAAGCATTTCATGCATCATCCTAACAAGCTGTTCACAGCTCCCTGTGCGCTGGGCCTCAAATTCAGCCTTTCAGAAGGCTTTGATAAAGAAGAAAGGATCATTTTTTTTTCCCCTGACTGCTGCAAATGAAAAAGCTTTTCACTTGGGAGTCATGGGTCATATTTATGGAAACGAGGAGAGCACTTGCAATATTTATAGCAGTTACAGAAGCGCTCGAATCTATCTTTTATTGATATGTATTTACATGCCTACAAAAATCTTATTGCGCAGTAGTAGAGAGAACTTTATTTAGATTTAGTATTTTGAAGTAATTTTTTAGTGCTTCTTTATTATCCGTGGAGTGCGAGATTCAATATTTCAAGTAGGACTGTCACCAAACAGCCGGAGGTTCTTAAGAGATTTTTATTTTACACAAAGATAAATGTTGAAGCCACATTTTTCAGAAGCACCATCTGTTCCATGTTGACCTTAATTTTCTGGATGAGTGCTTTTCTTCAAACATTTTAAGTCTTGTCTACATTTCATTTGGTTGGGAGTGTTTAGGTTATTTGCTGAACAGGAAATCGGATATTCAAAATGCAAACACACCATTACGTTGCAAATTATTCCCTTTGTATAAGTTTAGCAAACTGCTTTGTAAATACTCTGCAGACTTGCTGTGGTCGCTCTGCAACTCTGACATCTGGCAGGTTGGCCCCGTGTGGGGCTGGATTGGTTTTGAATGTCACCGTCATGCCTTGCACTGGGAGATGGGGCGCAGAGCACTGAGTGAGGACTGTGGAGTAGCCTTATAATGGGTAGTTTCTGGGGACAAGGATAGGACAAGGGTTTGCTGGTTGGCTTCATGGCCTTTGGAGGATTTGCTGTTCAAGCTGCCTAAACAATACCTGCTCCTGCTAAAAGGGGGTCTCTAAAATAGCTGTATGTTTACATATGCACTGGTCCCACAGAGCAATAGCCCCCTTTCTTCCTTACAATTCTTCTTGCTCCCATGTCTTGAGCTGAAATAGACTGATAGATGATGTTTTGCCTTCCTTTGTTCCCAGCCTTGCTTTGTGGCTTGTCCAAACTTGTGTGGCTCCAGCGGTTCAGCTGTTTGTTACCCTGACACTTCCAAGGGCTTCCAGGACCCTGCCTGTGTCTTTCCTGCCCTGTATTGGCTTCACACCTTGCCCCATCCTAAGCTTGTCCCTATCCAAGCCCTATCCAAGCTTCTCAGCACTGCCTGTCACTGTCCCTACCGAGGGCTGAAGTTAAAACCTGTATATGTATATGTTAGTTGTTCTCTATTGACATGTGGTGGATCTGTGCTAGTGCTGGCCTGCAACTATATTAGTGACAAAATGTACTCTTGGCAGGAACAGGAGCAATTTGGATTGTAAGTGGAACTGTAATCCTGCTGTTACTTTTCTTGTTGTAAAGTGGTAGCTCCTTTTGTCCCTGCAAAGTTTGTAGCCTAATGCAGAAAGGATATTGAGACTTTTTTCCTGCCTCAGGATATAGATTTGGGAATAGAACTAATGATGTGGTAGAAAAAGTGATGCAACTTAAATTTTTTTGTGTGCTTCAAGAAATTCCCAGGGGGGAATGCTGTGAGGACTGCACTCTCTTAAATTAGCCAGCTGGTTTCTTAGCAGCTTTGCCATGTAAGTACCTAGTGAAGCCTATGCCTATGAGACACCAAGATGTGGGACAAAAGAGCTGAACAAACAACAATATCTGCTTAAACCAAGACTGTTGTGTTTCCAAATACCAAACCCAGAGTCTGTCACACCAGGCTGGCTGGCTGGGTTTGGAAATACCTATTGCTACACAAGTTTTTGAGGGAAGTGATGGAGGGGGTGAGTGGCTGCTGTGCTTGTGGCTCATGTTGGTGGCTGTTTGCCATCCAGAAAACCATGCAGTGCTCCGCTGCTGGATGTTTAGAGGGTTCTTAGATGTTTGCATGATACATATGGTGGCCAGAGCTCCACGGAGTAAAAGCAGTGTGTGGCTAGGGTGGAGGAGGCAGTGGGTTAGGTCTCCTGCTGTTCTTCTTTCTCGCTGTGCCCAGGGGACCAGGACTCTGCTGGGAAATGGGGATGTCAGTCTCTTGTTTTAATTCCAGGCTAGCTCAAGCTATTTACAAAGGATCTTTTCTAATATGTGCTATAAAATAATGAAATTAAATCTAGAGTGGGTAAGTTTTGCCTCTCTTCTAGCACCTATTTTGTATCTCTGTATGCAAGGACAGGAGTGATTACTACAGGGGAAAATGAAATCTTCTTTCCTTCTGCCACTGAAATAGATGCTTTTATGCTTTCTGAAAAAGCACTGAGTCCTGCAAATGGAAAATGAGAGTGGTTTGGGTTGTTTTGGTCTTGTTTTGAGGCACTAATTTAGAAAATGAGGCAAATTGCACATCTGTAAATGGGTGAAGCATCAAAGCTGTCCTTTGCACCTGCAGGATGGGCTCTTTCAGAAGGCTAGATGTCTGGCTTGACTGCTGGAAGGTCAGCTTTTAATTATTGCTCTAATGAATCTCAATTTGATCCTTTTCTTTATCTACTCTGCAGTGACAGAAGGAACTGTTGAAGAAAATCATTAAAAGCAGGACTCTCGAGCAGAGCAGAGAGCCGTTCCTGGGCTCTCCGGGGGGTGAGCCAGTGAGTGAGGACTCAGAAACAGCACGTTGGGCTGACAGCAACTTTTAGGCCCTCAAATACCACTCCAGGACAGCCTGAAACCTCCAACTGACTGAAAAGTTGGACTGTGCATTTGATGTGGGAGTCTTGTGTGAGACATTGGCACCCCAGGTACTAAACACCATGGAATGGAGGTTCCCATTCAAGTGTCCCAAACTAAATCTGAACAACCCTAGGCTGAGGCTGAATTTGCAGTAAGAGGCTGTTGGAGACTATGGCAGTAGTGGGTTAAGTGAGTGAACAGCAGCTGTGTCCTTTTCTAAAGAGATTTACATTAAAAATAGAATGTCTTTCTCCTCAGCAGAAAAATGTTTAGCTTTACAAGATAAAAATAATTTGTTTCCATGCATCTGCCTTTCTACAATTGCTTAAGAAAACAGCTTTAGTGGCATCACTGTAGAATAAGCATTTTAAAATCACTTGGTGTATGTTTGTCACTTTTATGTGGATAATTCCATAGCATGAGGTTTGTTAGGGTTTGAACAAATAATTCTTTTGAGACAAAACATTATGTGATTTAAAGAAGGCGTTCTGCAAATGCTGTCTTTGATATGCTCACATCTGCACCACGTAAGTGTATTAAAGATGATCAAAAGTGTTCTGGCCTGCTGGGATGCAAGTTAAATATGAAGTCACTATAAAACTATTTTGAAGACCACAACTTTGTTTCTTAAGTTGGAAAGAGAAGGTTGAAAAGCCAAGTGCTTATCCATGGGAATGCCTGAAGCACAACCGCATGATTTCAGGTATAAAAACACAAGAGTTGTGAATCTGTAGGGCTAAAGAGGGATTCTGCTTTCTACTGGCACATAGAATAGGTCACCATTTACAATAACAAAGGCAACCCATCCACTAAAACCTTCGAACATGGTATCACCCTCCCCAAAATCTGTGCTTGCTTTTATTGCTAGTAGCTTTATGTTGGTTTTGCAGTGAGACTCAGTGCCCTGCTGCCTGGTTAATTTGTGAGGGAGACTGCTGTGCAGTCTGTCTCATGTGGTGAAACTCTGATGCTGAAAAATCTAGCAGGAAGCTGGCAAGTCAAATGGGAGAGCAGTAGAGATGTTGCTTTTGCTTGTTGGGGTGAAATGTGGTGTTGAATAATGGGAGGTTTTGTGTATTCCTTGAATTCTGTGTATGCAACTAGGCTAACCCCAATATGCAGAAGATGAATTGATAGGGAAGTGGGCAGCTGGAGGTCATCAGTGGAGTGGTTCATAGTGAATGTTATTAAGGGCTGTAGAGATGGTGAGCACAAACTAATGTCTGCAGGAAGAAAGGAAACCTTCATCTCTGCTGATCCAGTTATGGCCCTGCCACCTTGCTTGCACTCTTGATGAGAAGATGAAGGCTTTGACCATGATTGCCATACATTGTTGGCTGCCCAGGTCTTAATCTGTGCTACTAAAGCCCTGCCTCAGAAGGCACTCTGGTCTCTCCCCAAGGGCTATGGCTTCTCTCCTTGCTGGGCTGGGCAGCACAGGACTCACACTACTCAATGGAAATCCAAGCTTCAAAGTAACTACCTGATGTTTGAAAGAGAGTGGCCAAAGGAACCAAAGGAACCACCAAAGTGGCCAAATCAAAGTTGGTTTCCTTCTGAGAACTGTTTTCATATTCGCTTCTCACAAAAAGAATTAAAATTGCTCTTTTGTTAGAATCCGTGGTTTTTATAAAGCATGCTCCCCTCTAAGGAAACTGCTGCAAACCCACATGTTCAAAACCAGAACATCGTTTTTCCTTATTAGAGCATATTATTAGCCCATGTAATCTCTGGATTGTAACTAATTAATGTAGCTACAGCTAATTATTGAGTTAGCTACAGGTGAGAAGGAGCTTACTTTAAATGAGATTTTTGTTTAATGGGAATGGATTCTCCATATGGCATGTCTTTTCATCCAGAATTACTTACCAAGAACTGGATATTGTAGCGATGTAGGTCGTGTTTTCTTTCAATTTGTTTTGGGGTATTTATTCCAAATTTAATGTGCAAAACCTAACTCTGGTTGACTGTTCAGGAGCAAAAAGTGCTATTCGGGTGTTTTACAAGGATTCTTAAATGTAAGAAACTTGCAGTGGTACACTCTCGCCATAACATCAGTGTCACAATTTGAAGCTAAATTTAGTCATAAACATCCTTTATTGGTTCATCCAAATGCAGACAAATAGTTTTCCCACTTATTATGGGAACAATATTATTTACTTGCTATCTTCTTGTTATACATTCTTTCCTTTTTTTTTTCCCCTCAAGATAAAATGAAGATCTTTTGGTTAGCAACTACAGTAAAATGTGAGTGATGTATTTGCGAGAGTTGCTGTTTGCCAAGTACATTGCTGTACCAAAAGTACTGTTTGTTATGACATTGTACTTAGTCACTTGTTGATGCTATTTGAGGGAGAGAACTTAGTTAAAGAAGCTGGAACAGGATGTTCATTTTATTTCAGTATTTATAATCCTGAGTCATCTCTTGATAGCTGATGAAATACAGCAACTCACATTTTAGACAGGGCTTCTCCTAACATAATTTGGGGATGCTGTAATTTGATAGAGGGTGGAAAAACAGAGCTGATTTTATGCAGAGAGGTTTATTTTAGTTGTCACTCTCTGCTGAAGCACTCTTAAACTTTGCACATCTGCGGCACTTTACCATGTCTTTAAATATGTTGTAGTTGGGGTGAAATAAGAGCTGATGTGGAGACAGCATATGGCTGGGCAGGCACTGGGGCTTTGGGGACTCTGTCTCAAGTATGTGGAGATCAGTTACATTGATTTTTGGTTCATCATTTTGGCTGCCTTGTGGTTTGCTCCCACTGCAAAAATAGGAAGTCTAGAGGCGTTTGGTTGTGTGCATGGCTAGTAAGGAAGCAAAGGGAAAGTTATTTCTCATGTAAGAGGTTGAATTCAGATTGTAGGTGAAATTTTGGATGTGATTTTATTCAAGCCTGCTCAGCTGTGGGACTATGACTATTAAGGCGACTATCAGACTAGTATGAACCATTGAATGTGTATTATTATTTCCTGTACGAAATTATTAATGATGGTAGAATTCTGAATTTGAGCATATTCCTTCTTAGGAGCAGAAAGGCCTTTCAAAATAATTTGCATGTTTCACTTCAGCCTCACTTCAGAGTAGCAGGCAGCAAATCTCTGAAAGCACAGAGTACTTATGGGCCGAAAATAAAGAATGCTGACTCTATTTAAAGCTGTGGAAAGAATTTATGTTGGAAGAATGTAGTTATTAGATTTGGAATCTGACCAGGATGTACGATACTGCTTTAAGTGAGGGAAAACATAGGGTGAATGTTGATCAGAGGCTAAAAGGATGTATTTTCACTATTAATTTGGATACATGTCCAGCAGCACAGTTACTGTTCTTGGTACCAAGGTGACAAGCTGGCTTGGAAAGCAAAAAGATACACCTCATCTCATGCAGTTGTTGGTTTTCTTTTGGGATCCTGTGGATCCAGGATAGCCAGGTTTGGTCTGGCATTGGTACAGCACTGTGCCTGTCCAAAGGCTTCTCCTTCCACCCTTTCACCTCCTGACATTCCCACGAAATGCATATAGGCAGGCAGCAGAGCAGCAAAGGAGGCTCCTTCACCCCTTAATAGGAAAGTACAATGAATACAGAGAACATAGGTAAAACTGTGCAATTAAATTAGCTGCCGTCAAGTAGTGAAATATATTCATCCCTTCTGGCACTGTGGCTAATTTATATTTAAAGCAGTATGAATTTCATGAGCATTTTAAAAAATCATATTTTAAATTCAATTTGCTGTCAGCTCATTTGATGTTTTGTGTAAAGTCATTTCCTGTAAACAGGTTATTGAATATCAAAACACTTGTCTCATACATAATTTTTGGAAAGAAATAATATTATAATAAAGATGAGAATCTGGCCCTCATGTGAGTTGCCAAGCACTTTCTGATCACTGCAGTTCTTTGGTGCTTGCTTTATCACAGTCAGGGGAGTGTCCTGGGCAAGGACCAGGCAACAATAGTAATTGTTTTCTAGCTACAGTAGGTTATTCTGCAATTACAGAATCATAGGAGCATAGAATGGTTTGGGTTGGAAAGGACCTTAAGATCATCTAGTTCCAACCCCCCTGTCATGGGCAGGGACACCTCACACTAAACCATGTCACCCAAGACTCCCTCCAACCTGGCCTTGAACCCTGCCAAGGATGGAGCAATCACAATCTCCCTGGGCAACCCATTCCAGTGCCTCACCTCCCTAACAGGAAAGAATTTCCTCCTTATATCCAATCTAAACTTCCCCTGTTTAAGTTTTAACCCGTTATCCCTTGTCATATCACAACAGTTCCTAATGAAGAGTTCCTCCCCAGCATCCTTGTAGGCCCCAAATAACTACTGATATATATGAAGAAAGAGTTCAGTGTATTTTTTTCCAAATATCAAAAAGAGAGTTGGAAGAAAATGGATTAAAATACCTGAAATCTGACAGTTGTACAGCTCATGCAGAGTAATGGCCTGGGTAATATTAATAGATATGTTGAAAAGCTAAGACATGTTTGTTATGAACTGTTGAAGAAATAACTGCTGTATTTTAGCATGGGATTCTTACCTGTGCATGGAGATTGCTGTCATTTGGCAGATGCTGTGTAATGTAAAACTGAGCATCAAAGCTGCTATGAAGCTGAATCCTTTGAAAGAAGAAATAAATTGGCTTCTGGATGCCACCAATTTCTCCTCCAGTGTGAATAGTATACCCTGGGTGTAAGCACATAACATAAGCTGCTTGGGATCTCTGAAAGATTTGATGGATTCCTACCATAGTAGATCATGCTAGTAAGACTGAAATAGCATTTTATTTATCCATTTATTTGAACAAACTCTGTTGTGAAGGTGTCTTTAAAAGCTGCCAGAAAAAGTATCTTCCAAATTGTGAATCCCTTGTATCCTAGCTGCACGTGGTGCATCAATATAACATAAAGACTGAAATAGTCTCTTGTTATACTAAAGGACATTAGAGGTAACTGGACATGGCACTGAGTAGAAATGAATTGTATTTTTGGCGTTCTCCAGCAAACTACCTCCTAGCTGATACAGGTGTGAAGCATTTGCACACCTTAATAAAATTTGAAACTAAACTTTGAAACCCCAAGCTCCCAAATTTTCCCAAATCAATGTTTTTATATTTTTTCGCCAGCTGCTGTTTCCCTGAAAGGATTTGTATGTTATTTCCATTAGGGAAGGAAGCTCCACTTAAAAGCAAAGCATCAAAACGCCCTAGAAAGGCACTTCTGAGCTTGAGGCAACTCAGCTGAAGCCACTGAAGCATTTTGGAAGCAGAACCATCATGTCCCACCTCTGAACCTGCCTGGGGCCCTTCTCTGGTTGTCTCTGAGGTTTGCTGGGTGCATCTTACAGCATTCAGAGATGTGAAGACTCTGGTACAGTGCTCAGACAAAAGAGTTATCCAGCCTTTCCCCTTCCCTGTCACTTCTGGGCTGGCTCCAGATGTGGTACCTGAGGCCAGAGCTTTCTCCTAAGCCAGAGGTTTCCATCTGGGTCCAGTTTCTGCAAGCCCATGGGCTGAGCTGACAGCAGCAGTGCCCACATATGAATTTTAGCCTCCATTAGCTATGTGTGTTTCAGTGTATTTTTAATGAGGTTAGGAAATACTTGGGAGCCAAAGGGTTTGTAGATAAAGAGATCAAAGCAGACCCATGCTGCAGGGGAGGGAGAGAAGCATGAGTTCTGGCAGGGGCTGAAGGGAAACCGTGTTACTGCAGAAGGTTTTGAGTGGTGCAAGCTTGTTTTTGCACTCTGCACCATGCATTTTAGAGTTGCTGGGCAAATTCTCACCTGGTGGGTATTGCCTATTGCCTCTGCTTTTTTATCTTCAGTGGAACTGATCTGACTTGAAAGAGATGTGACTTAATGTGCATATCTGAGATACAGTTTCATTACAAGGAACAGGGAGGTGCTGAACAAATCCTGAGTGGTAGTGCCTTCCCCTGTGTTTCTTTTATGAGCAAAATAAAATGAGTCCCTGAGGGTCTCAGACATCTGTACCTAGTCTGAAAATGTTGACACCATTGCCTTGATTTGATTCTTGGGGAAAAAATCATAGCAGATAGAAAGTGGAGCATGGGTGAGGGAGAATGGAGAAAATGGGAATAAAACTAGCTTTCCCCAGCAAGTACATGGCTTTGAAGAAATAGGAGTGTAATGTGTGCTGGTAATGCTGAAGCCTGCAAATTAGAATTTTTACAATATAAAGCAAATCCACAATACCCACAGCAGGAAGCTCAGTGCATTACAGTGGAATTAATACACTATTTCTGTGGTCAAAACATGGGGCATACTGAACAACAGCTAAGCTGGCTGGGAAGAGCCTTGCCAGAAACCCCATATTCCTTATGAGTGCTTGTTCTGAGAGTGTTTGACATCCCCTTTCCGACTTCAGGGAAAACCAAAAGCTTCCCAGGGCTGATACCCATCTTGGTCATGCCACTGTGTCCTCAGTGTCACTGAGATGCCTCCTCCACAGAGACCATGGCCTGAGGGCACTGAGGAGTGGTCAAAGGTGAGGAAGAAAGTGAGTCCTTTGGTGTTGTGCTGTCTTTCCATCGTGTTCAGCACTCATAGCTGCAGCTGGTATTCAAGGTCACCACTGATGTCACCAGATGGGACAGCCTCCCAACATGTCTGTAGCTCCTGTAGCTCTCTGCTGCACACAAAGGACAGATGATGCTGGGAGAAATCTTTATATAATGTGGTATTTCTGATGATGATGCTGTCTGAGAGCCTGCTGTGAAGTGTGCAGAAAAGAGCCTGCTTGGCAGTGTGCAGATGCCAGGGATGTCTTCATCCTGCGCAAGGGATGGGCATTCCCTTGCTACAGGACCAGTGGAGTGTAAGGGTAAGCTGAGAGCTTCCTATGTGGCAAGAATAAATTGAACTGGAGAAGATGCCTTTGAGTTCCTGAAATACATAGGAAAGTGAAAGAAAGTTCATTTCAAGTGGAAGAAGTTCTCTGTTCACCAGGGCTTTTGTGACAAGGAATTCAGAAATGGCTGAGCCAGAGATGAGGAGGCACAGAACCTCCTCTGCAGTCACTCATGAACGGACAGCAGTTCCTCTTAGCCACCTTGGGGCCTCCACACTCACCCACCGTACTGGGATGGGTGGACAGAGGTAGGAGGGCAGAGGATGCTGTCAGGTCCGATGCACCCTGGTGTCTGCCAAACAGCTGGTAAGATAACACACTGCTTTATTGGGGCATGTTTTAATGTAAGATGCTGGCAGTACAAGGATTACTTTCCATGCTAAGGAGCGCTGCTGAGCTGCATTGCTGAATCGAGTCAGGTTTCTGGCCCTAAACCAATGGCTCTGCCGTGTCGATAGGTGGTGCAAGTTTGCTGCGGTTTCTGGAAAGCTGAAGCATTTAGTCAAAGATTCTAGTACGTTTGTCAGGCTAACGGTGGGATTGGAGAAGGAAAAGCTAAACACTGTGCCTGCTGTAAGTAGAAGCTGAATCTTAACTATAACTGCTGTCTATAGTCAGGGCAGTACCAAAGAGCAGAGGCAGTGTCATCTCTTACATGTTACTTCCACGTGTCTGGTGGATGGCCTTTGGACAGGTCTTGCAGCAGAGGGTCAGGGCAGACAGTGGTGAACTCTCAAGGGTAATGACCAGGTCGGTGGGAGCCCTGGGTCTGCTGCTGGGGGCTGCCCCAGCCCTGCAGCACAGCCCAGCTGCTGCAGCTGAGAGGGGTGAGCGCTGCTCCCTCAATACACAGTGGAGGGAAGGAATGCATCCAGAGGGACCTTTACAGGCTGGAGAGGTCGGTCAGTGTCAACCTCGTAAGGTTCAACAAGGCCAAAGGCAAGGTCCTGCTGGGTCCTGGGTTGGGGCAATCCCAAGCATGAATACAGACTGAGTGGAGAATGGATTGAGAGCAGCCCTGGGGAGAAGGACCTGGAGGTACTGGCTGACGAGAAGCTCAACATGAGCCAGCTTCAGCGCACACTTGCAGCCCAGAAACCAACCGTGCCCTGGACTGCATCCCCAGAGCACGACCAGCAGGGCAAAGGAGGGGATTCTCCCCCTCTACTCTGCTCTCATGAGACCCCCCCTGCAGTCCTGCATTCAGCTCTGGGCAACAGCACAAGAGGGATGTGGAGCTGTTGGAGCAAGTCCAGAGGAGGCCACAGAGATGCTGCGAGGGCTGGAGCAGCTCTGCTATAGAGCCAGGCTGAGAGAGCTGGGCTGGGTCAGCCTGGAGAAGGCTCCTGAAGGGAAGACCTTAGAGCAGCTCCAGTGCCTAAAGGGGCTACAGAAAACTTGAGAGGGGCTTTGGACAAGGGCCTGTAGGGACAGGACAAGGGGAATGGCTTTAACCTGCCAGAACAGGGGAGACTGAGATCCGATATGAGAAAAAAACTCTTCCCTATGAGGGTGCTGAGGCACTGGCAAAGGGTGCCTGGAGAAGCTGTGGCTGCCCCATCTCTGGCAGTGCTCAAGGCCAGGTTGGATGGGCTTGGAGCAGCCTGCTCTAGTGGAAGGTGTCCCTGTCCATGGCAGGCGGTTGGAACTGAATGAGCTTTAAGGTCACTTCCAACCCAAACCAGGCTGTGATTCTAAAATGAGGTCCTGGAGAAAAAAAGCTGCAGCAGGGAGGACAATGAAGAAATCAGACTCTTAGTCTCCATGTTCTGTGTAGCATTAAGTGGTTATGACAGAAAGTGAAAACCTTGCTGATGCTGAGCAGAAATGACAAAGCTCCTGGTGTCAGCTAGAGCAGCTATGACTGCTAAAAGTAAAGATTATCTAAACCAAAGCTGGGTGTCTAACAAGTCCTTGCACGCTGAACATGCAATTGCATGGTTTGCTGATCAGATTCTAATTGTGTCCTATAAGGTTTGCAAGTGGTTTTGTTGCAGGCCTAGGAAATCTGTTATGAATCAGAGAGGGAGAGTCAGTGGTTTGTAGGAACATCAGGTTCCAGGCTCTGGCTCCACTGCCAGAGGAACTCTGTTCTAGTGTTTGTTTCCAGCAGTCAACTGTGGGTTTGTGGAGTCTAAATTTATCATATGGAAATGTTTAGTTCACCTTTTTCCTCCAAACAGATCCCAATGGATAGCTGTTTGCAGGTCCACTCCACAACAGAAGAAATCATTGCTCAGGCCCTCCAATGTTTAATGAGGAGACTATGAAGTCGAGGACAAAGATAAGCAGTGAAGCCTGGAATACTTACTAGAAGGGTTTGTTTCCATGCCCTGTAGCTGGCAGTCATCCTGCTCACAGCTGTCCAGGGAATGATGATTTCTCTTTGCTGCAGCTTTCAAGGTTTTTTGACTGTGTCTGTTTCATATTGGAATAAACAAAAAATTCTTTTGGAATGTTTTCATCAAAATGGAAACATCTAGTTTGGGTTTAAAAGTAGCAGGTGTGTTCTCAATACTGTGCATTCTGCTTCTGCTTGTTCTCATGTGCAACTATTGGGAGACTCAGCTCCCTCCATGGTCACTGTGGCACCAAGCTGCAAACCCCATGGTGTGTGCATGTGTGTGCCTGCACCCCATCCAGCATCCCTGCCTGTTTTCCCAAGCAGCTTTAATTGGAAGCAGTCTATCTCCAAGCTGAAATGGTTTCTGGAAAGCAGTATGCTTCAGGAAAACGTTGCTTGGTTAAAAATGTCTGAAACAGCAAGAACGCTATGGGCGATAGGAACAGTGGAGATAACGGGGTTTGGACAGCTCTTCTACTACATTGTCACTTTGCTGCCTTTGTGGATTAACCAAGGCCTCTGCCAGACAGGATGGAAGAGCAAAGCTAAGGCAGATCATGCTCTGGTATTTCTCATTCGTTCTCTCCCTCCCCTTCCTGGCTGCCTCTTCTCTCACAGCACAGTTTTGAATGGGGTGACAGCTTTCTCCTGCTGCTGTTGCAGGGAGAAGCTGTAGTGATCTTTGGTCACTGCAGCTGAGGAGCAGACCTTGCTGTCGTCCCCAGTTCCCCTGCTCTGGCCCACCATGCAACCCACTCCTCTTCATAGTGTGTGATTCTCTTGTGGATGAATTCAGGGATGATGGCACTCTCCAGTGAGTTGTACACAGGATGTACATGGAGTACAACTGAGATGGATGGGCAAAAATGCTGCATTAAGATTTCTTGCTAATAATCCTTGATTAATGCAGTTATACTTTTGTTGTTAAGGCTGTTGCTGGACAGGATTAAGGAAGAAAGACCTCTGAGAAGCAGGATTGGTTGCGAGTTGTCTCCCTGTATCTTTTAATCTCTCATGTGGTACAGCCTGATGTTTTCAAGTCTCTCTTTTGAAATGGCAGATAGAAACATATTGCTGCTGTCTGGAGCCTTTAATCTTCAAACGGAAAT